TCACGGTAGGGAGGTAGGGATATTTGAATCTTTTGTTTTTGGGCTACAAAGATGGGTGTAGGTATTGTATATGCATACTAAAGTTATGGTAAGTATTACATCATGAAAATTGGTTTTACTTCAAAAACCTCAAGTTTAATTGATCATTCATTGGCTTTAATGAGCTCTTCGGTGTTAATGAGTCATTATGAAGGTGATAGTACGCTGTCTATCATGTCAATGTAAATTATAAATCTCGATGGACTATTCTCGCTGGCATGCATTGTGTAGACACGTTTTTATGCAGATCCAAAGTCTTCCAATGTAGGGTTCATCACTCTATAGACAACTTTCTTGGGACACAAAAGCGACCAAAATAAATCTGCAAACAAGTGTGATCAGATATTGTGTGTTAAAAAGCTCCAAACATGTGCATCAATATATAACTTCTTAGTTCCTATTTTATGAAATGGTTCACACAAAAAAAAACAATTTTTTAATTGAAATGGCTCAAAAATCGAGAGAAAGAGAGAGACAGACAGAGAAAGCGAGAGACAGCGACAAGGAGACAGCGGGAGAGAGAAAGAAAGCGATTCTTGCAAATCTATTAGAGTTCGTTTTTACAGCTTGTAGGTTTAAAACGGATGGAATGTATTTTTTAGTGAATGAAAAGGTCGGCATAACAGCGACGAAGACAAATAGGCTGGTATATGTTCATACCTACATCTTTCCAACATGATTCTTATGAACGAACATAAATGTTTGTTTGTTTTGAAAACGGTTATCATATCTATATTATGTAATTAACTGCTTTCAGTCGGCGTTCACATTAGTAACATACACACTGCACGTCTCTATCTAAAGAATACCAAAATCATCACTCATTGTGTCGAGATCGCAAAATAATTGGATCAGTGTTATTTTGAAGAATCACCTCCCACCGCACACAACAAGTAACAATATAATTGACAAAAAATAAAGTAACGTACAATGTAGGGCCGTTCCATGTATGCCATATGCGCTGATAACATGGACGCTTTCATGGTGCAAACACTATCACAGTATAGATATTTAGATAACTTGGATCACTAATGAATATGAATACATAATCTAAATATACGTATTTAACAGATATTTAAATAATAAACAGTTACATTCCAGATGTTGTAAACACAGTAAACAAGGCCCTCTTGTGGGCTTTATGCAATTTGGACCAATTCTCATTCTTTTGGCTTGAGCATATATCATGCGATACATTAAGTAATAAAATGACAGATATCCGAAATGCGGCCATGAATCTTACATGAATGCTTTTTGTTGTATGTTATATTTCCAGTTGATATGTATCTATTTGGTAAATATGCAATCATATTTGTAAACAAGAAGTAGAGACATCTCTTGGGGCGGTTACGTATGCACAAAGCTTTTACGCGCAAAGCAGGTGATGGTACGGAGACCCAGGGGAGGGCAAACGTCAGCACAATAGATCTTATCTCAAATACGGCGTGCGTCAGAAGTACTTGTTTACTTTAAAAGTCGCTACGTCGCCATGTTTTCCAACCTTTGGGTTTTTAGATTGTTTTAATGAAAGTTTAAAAGTGATTACGATGTCTTATCCCCGGTCATGACATTTCATTTTCTACTAAGAATTAATCCTTGTTCGCTGTACTGTTGATCGCTAGTGACTTGTTTTCCTTTACACGGTCCATTAACAGCTAACGCCGTGTCCGGGTTGTGGTAAGGGGAGTGGGTGTGGGGTGTGGGGGTGTATACCTGGAAACTGCCCCACGTATGCCTTGATCCCGCGACCTAGTGGTTGAATGCTAGTGATCGTAGACGGTCCGACATCTTATTCGCTCGGCCATCACAGTCCCGTTCACAGGATACATAAGGAATGGTGTCACATGTGTTCCAGGCAACTTTTACACTGCAAGAACATTTTTCTACGCTGCGATATATGTTGTCCTTTTATGTCGGCGCTATGGTTTATGTAGTCTTTGTATGTTAGCGGTGTGGTATATTTTGTCGTTATGTGTTGACGCTGTGGTGTATGTTTTCCTTATGTGTTGACGCTGTGATAATATATTGTGGTTGTGTGTTGACGATGTGGTCTATTTTGTCGTTGCGTGTTGACGCTGTGATGTATTTTGTCGTTGTGTGTTGACGATGTGGTATATTTTGTCGTTGTATGTTGACGCTGTGATGCATGTTGTCATGTTGTCCTTGCTTGATGTCGCTGTTGCATATTTTGTCATTGTTTGTTGATGTTGCAGTACGTATACGTGGTGCCATTGTTGTTGGCTCTGTGGAATAGTACGGCAGTATTTGTTCACACTGTGGTAAATCTTGTCCTTATTTGTTGATGTTGTGGTATATGTTTTCATGATGTGTTGAAACTAGAGTGTACTTAAGCGCCGTGATATTAAACATACTTGTTTGTTATACGTACCGTGCCGCTAACATTTGCTCGTTTTCTAATCAGCAGAATAAAACTGGCATTTCTTATTTTTCTTCCATAATAAACGTTTCCTTTTATACCACACTCACTGTGTGAAACGTGTCAAAGATATAAAAAAGGGAAATTAATTTTATTTTCTTACGTGCCGTAAGGAATTCGATGAGTTACATAATGTTATACATACCCCAGCCCAGTGGGCCCTTTTAAAATGATATTTTTTCTCACATTTTGGCAAGTTGTTTCTGCTATTACGATCATGTTTTTTTTAATACTACTTTATTAGTTAATTACAAAGTGGGTTTAGCAAACCAAATGACGTAATAGATCTTTACCAATTATGATGAAAGTACGTGTGTTTTGTAAACATTACGTCTGACCCTGTGGGGCACATGGTCGTCATTCGTTGGTTGGCTGGTTGTACAGGATTTAGCATGTAGTGTCAGTTACAGACTTGCCTTCAAATGTGCTGTGTATGCGTTCAAATGGGTATGTGTGCCGGAGACAGGACACATTGGTATATTTGACTTCTTGTGATAGCGCGGATCTGAAGCCGACCTCATTATGCTACCTCACTGAAATACCATCCCAAAGGCACCAAACACATCATTACGCCCCGTCACGTCATACTGAAAACGGGTGAACCAGTTAGTATCATTACCCTAACGTTAAACCAGACTTTTTTGTATGTCCCGGCCTGAAAAGAAGGACCCCCTAAGTAGAAGGCAAAAATGAAATTCCCATTTCTGCAGGGAGTTTCCACGTAAGTCGCCTTTTACGATGCATACAAGAATGTTCTTTTCTCGATCTCCGACTTGAATCGTCATTTGCTAGATTTTGCTTTAATGACATCTCGTGAATTCGCTTATGGATGATGATAACGTAAACATCGGTTCTACCCTGCGCATGGTGAGACAAGTAGCAGTCTCATACTTGACATAAATATTAGTCATTGGAGTTTGAATCATTTATGAATTTTTATGAATTCAATTTTAGCCGCACATTTACCCACAGTTTGCGGCTCGGTCATTTTAACGGGTTCTATATTTTTAACATTATGCGTTGCCGTTACGGTCTATTTTATCCTTGTGTACTGTCGTTAGGGTCTATTTATATGTGTGTTGAATGTAGGGTCAATTTTGTCATTATGTATTGACACAATGGTTTATCATGTCCCTGTGTGTTGACGCTTTGGTCTAATCTGTCATCATGTGCTCACACTATGACGTATTTTGTCCTTTTGTGGAGATGGCATTTTTTGTCAATGAAGGTTGACGGCAACTTTCTGGGACCCTCCGGTAGGTTGTCGTCTTTTTACTGCAGTCGATTGGCTTACGAAGTTAGATGTACCATTTGGCCAAGCTAGATAGGTACAACCATACCAGACTAGCCAGGAAAGGGGGAGGGGGGGGGGGGGGGGGGGGGCGGAGTGGGGATATCATACGGAGAGCAATCCACCGATCGTTCTATACCAGTGATTTGATTTGCTTATGTGCCATTTAGCACATGACATTCTTATAAGCGTCTTTTCATGTGAGAAAAAGAATGTTGTTATTTCCTGCCACTGGGACAACAACTTTGTATAACGCACCAAATTGCAAAGCCCACACAGTTCGGTTCTGTGCCCTATCTCACCTGTATCTCGATTCGTTGTCTTGATACTTTGAAATGCCTCCTTTGGCACCACCGTACTGTTTGTTACATCGCACAAACGTTTTTTTGATGTGGGATAGGCAACGTACTGTATTCTGTCTTAAGTACAAGACGTACAAATGTTGTTTTCCCTCACAAAGGCTCAGCATTTAGGATAAGCCACAACTGGTTTACCGTTGTCAGTTGATGTTACACAGGTTGATTACTATGATGGGCGCATTCAGCTCGGTTTTGCAGAAAGGTAGCACTCTTAAACGGGCATCGGTATACCAACACACATCCACAGCACCGATACATACATTACACACTTAATACGTGAAGGCAAGTCTTCAAATGATGTTAATAAAACGATAAACACTGTTAACCATACTGAACGAACACAATGGGATAGGCATGGACGTTAAAAACAAATTACGACCAAGGGATGAGTAACCGATATATATTGAACTAGAAGCTTGGAAACCCTTTGTCATTTTCATAATGTCGCCTAAGACACTCTCCCATACTGTTATGATAGTAGTTAAACAGTTGTCACAGATTTTCACGACACCTGGTGGAGTTCTGTCACATAACATACTTGTCCCGCCTGACATTTGTTTATCACTTGTAGCTGCGTTAGACAAAGGCAATGAGTAATCCATTAACAATACTTATAATTTAATCAACAACTATACCTTATTTTATAACTGTTGTGGGGTAGTTTAAGGCAAGCTTAAGATAATGTTATCACCCTTTATCTATTCTGTCTACTTGTTTGACCACCAACAATCATGTTCTTCGTGAGGCTTACTTGGATAGGTTTCTTTGGTGCAAATATCAGTAGACATACCTAAGTATGTGTTCATATCGTAGTTCAAACAGTATTCAAACGATTAACAATATGGCTTGCTACCACAATTATAATATTTCTTACCTGTCGAAGAAACAGTAGACAAGAAGGAGCTTGCAGTTTCACATGTACCGGAAGTTGTGTAACACATCTGAAAAAGTCCTAGGTTTCCGGTTCCTGTGTTGTACCAAAACGGCGTTGCGAGGCCGACAAGAACGACGATAATCGCCATTGGGAGGACGATGATGCAGGCGAGCGCCATCGCCATTATACAGTCATCTGTGGTGTCTGTATTGTTCTTCATGTTATCCGTCTGAGTGTCGCTGTCCTGGAAAAGCTTGATCGCGGATATAGTAGTTGGCGATTTGGAACCGGAAGTTGACGAAGAAGAAGCGGAAACTGAGTTGCTCTGTTCCGATACTGTGGATACGGGTGAGTTTGTTTTATTTTCTGGAGCCAAAGCCGGAGATGGGCTATTATACTTGTGCGGTTTCTTCCCAAATGCGTACCCGTTGCGGAGGTCTTTTTTGTTTTTGCGGAGTTTTGAATACATATCCTTCCAGACATTTGATTTACCTTTCTCGTTCGTAGATTGTGGTGCCGTTATAGAAGTAACATTTGGCCAACCACTGCCAATCTTGTTACTCGCCATGTTTATTTAGGCTGAGTATTGACAACCAACGTACACACGTCCGGTATCACATACGACGGACTATGACGCGTTTCCGGTGACCAGCCAAGCGCACATTCAACTTGGACAATATGTCGTGTTTGGGTCCTGCTGTGGTAGGGTCTGTTTACCAACTTTCAGATCTGAAAAATAATAAACATTTAATATTTATCCGACGTTTATTGTAATGTGTATGACGGGGTAATTACAATTGAAATTGAAATTGAAATACTGAGTACTCAAATCACATGCTTATTAAAACACAACGAACAGGTGTCATTCTACTAAACATTTGTAAACAGACCTGATACAACATTGGCCAACGTAAGATGTGTGTTTAAATAGTCAACGCATGCTATACAGTTTTTAAACAGTCAATGTACGTCGGGAAAATATGATATGAGAATATGAGAAAACAACCATAACGTAGTACGAAGTATGGCTAGCTTTTGTTTAATTAATCTTAAAAGTGTATATGCGAAACGTTTTAACGCCCCCCCCCCCCCCCCCCCCCCCCCCCCCCCCCCCCCCCCCNCTCTCTATCTCCCAATTTGATACTAACAAAATTGAAAATATTAATTAATTTAAAATGTGCCATTTTGTATAAAATATTTTATTATGTTATTGGGAAAAGGCTTTCTATACGTTGGACAACTTGTGCCCAATCCCATTTGTATATCAGAGGCAAATAAAAATAAGTTTAAATGAAAAAGCGGTATTGTTATTTGACCCGTGTAACAATAGAGTAAATTTAGCAATACAATTCATTAATCGGAAGGCCTTAGCCTCTGAAATTGTCGTTGGACAGTAAAACGTTTCAGCAACACTTCAATTTCAATTAATACTATGGACGTTAAGGTAATGGAAGATTTTTTTGATTTTGCCGACTTTAAATTGTCACCGAGGATAACATTCCCTAGGTGATCGACCTGTATGTAAGAGTGACGTCAGTAGGTAGTATTGTGGTTTAAAAGGTAATCAAAATAATGGTGAAAACGCAGGAAAGTTTTACTTAAATATAACGTCACGGAAGAAAAGCCTTGTCACTTTAAAAATAAACAGACATTAACCGTCCTCAGACTTATATTTGTTCTACCTCTCGTGCCTATGATGTCAATTTGTTTAACATTCTGCTGAATTCAGGTATATTACCGAACCGTGGATGGTCAGTTCTCCAACCCCGATAGGGCTGTGATGGCCGAATGGTTAGGGCGTCTAACCGTGTACGATCACTAGCCCTCGCGATTTCGAGAACTACTTGGGGCAGTCGCAAGGTACCTCCCGTAGGATGGTGGTTATCCTCCGTATACTCCGGCTTTCCTCCACCACCAAAACCCTGCACGTTCTTAAATGACAATAGCTGTTGATAGGACGTAAACAGACAGACCGACAAGGCAGGTAAACTATAACACTCTGCGTAAAAATAACAAAGATGAAGGTATGGTAGGGGCAATTATCCTTGTATCACGTCTAGGCAAAATTGTTGCTTAAACCAAAGCTAACATCATCGAATACTGATACTCATTGTCGTAGAAACCTGTATATCTACTGCCGATTACTGTAGTTCATGCACCGATCATCCATTGTTTATTTGATAAGAAACTCTTTGGTACGTTACACCTCGAGGCGTGTGTTTGGCTTTGGAGGATATTACAAAAAGAAACGTCAGTGGAAAACTAATGAAAGCTATTTATGATCTACATCACAACTATAATCGCGCAATGCGAGCACGAGAACCGCAGTCACGTAGACTTATTAAAAGCTGTTTTCCCTACCAACAAAACTGTTTCTTCATACGATTGAAGTAAATGACCCGAAGCAGTAATCATTGTCGTAAATTACGTTTATTTATTACGGATCTGATGTATGGGGTAAGATTTCTAGAAAAACAGACCACAAATCGCTCAAAAACATTTATTTATAGTGAAAAGGTAGGCACAATTTGCTATAGCGGACAGATGAATAGTAAATTGCAATCGCGCTCTTCAGAACGGAGTGTTACCGTTGCTGCTATATTGAGAAAATTGGTTTTTATGTTTTTGATTATCAATTTCAGCAAGAAAAGGTTTCCCGATAAAATATAATGGCGGATGGTGCTTTCAGCGTGAATCTTTCTTTACATTTGTATGCTGCAGTTAACATGTATGCAGTGTCCCCGGGTAGGATTTATTGCTGTTGTATCATATAATGGAAGCCAATTCATTAAGCCAGACGTTGGTTGATATTATGGAGCGTTGTTTTGATGATGCTATATCTAATATCAGACTATCCATCTCAATACTTGGCATGTTAAAGTACAGCTGTGACAAACAACACGTGTCCTATAGTATTGTCCCTTTTAATATACGAGGTAGCATATGCGTACTCCGACTGTTGTGTGTTTGTTAAGTCTAAATATTTACATTGGCATGGCATTGTCACTATATAGCCTCTTTGGAAGCTGTGTCGTTGATGGGACTTTAATTACCATGCATCACGAGACAAAATTCTTAGCGTATTAATACAACACTGACCGGAACTACAATATCCAATATAAATAAACATGACGGCTGCTGAAATATCGCTGGGCATTGTGAGATTTGACAATGTCATTGTAAATTTATGTGCAAAATAAAAAATAAAATAAAAAAAAAACTTTTATTACAACGAAAACAAGACCAAGCTCTGCAATATCGTACAAAATGCACATCGGTTGAAATCACCAATGCCGGCAATGGAAACAATTTTAACGCTCATGCAATTTATCAGAAATATCGTCTGTTACACTGCACTGATCAACAGGGGTTCGTTACAAATGTCTGAAATACACATATTCTATAGACCTACTGACACATATGTTACAGACCTACTGATATGAGTCACAGCACACATAAACATTTCAGACATTTGTAACGAACCTGTGCTCCGTCGCAAGATCACTCACTTCAAACGCTATCAGTTTCACGCGTCTCGCATCCACGGTTCCTCAGTTTCTGACGACATGTCAAATAACGAGGCTGTTATAGAATCTACCGACTGTTGTCAGGTTCCCATACAATCAACAAATAAATTCACGCCTGGATTCTTCACAAAATGAGCAAAGAGAAAAGTTCGAATTAACTTCCAAAAATAACTCCCTCGTGGAGGGCAAGGTCGGATTTACGGTGTTCACTGTATTTGTCCATGCGCGAAATTTGTTCCGGGGGAAAATCGAAACAATTTCAAATCTAACTTTCAGCTCAGAGTTCTATTGATAAACTTAAATCACCCTATAGACATATCATACGCAATTGTATTGATACTGAATTGTGGAATAAAATTGAAGTGTTTGTTAAAACTTCAAAGTACTACTTTGTTCGCCAATCAGCACGCGACAATACGCTGTTCAATCTGGTCCCCGGGTTCGTATACACACTCTCGTGTTTCGGTATACGTTGGAGTAACTTGTATTTGGTTGTTACTAGCGTCATCAGTACTGTAATGTCACCCAAAGTTGACAAACAGAATAAAAGAAAAGTAAATCCGATGTTACAACAAAATGCCGTTTAAAGCTGAAAGTGGCGCATTACAATGACCACCGGGTGTATTACAGAAACTCGTCTAAAGGTGATTCTTATCCAATGATGTGTTCCTTGTGATCCCTGTCCTCTTTTGTCATCAGTCTAAATCCGGGTTTTGTCATCCATTCGCGTTTGCGAAAAACAAAGTACAGTGTTCCTAAAACTTCCATCAAAACATTAAACATGCATGTACAATTCAAACAATTATTTTTCTCATTTCGGAAAACAAATTATAAAGTGTATCGCTAAATGAGTGCAGTTATTGATTTCGCTCTTGGTGACGGATACCTTATCAAACGTTCATAAAGGTTTGAATTCAAACGGTAAACTAGAATAGTATGTCTTTATGACAACAGTGTCATTGCATCAATGCATTAAATTCGTCAGCGAGACGTCATATATGGCCACCATAACACTATAAATCTACATGACTTCATCGTCAAAGTAACACCATATCATCGTCATCGTAACATCACATCATCATCATAGTAACATCATATTATCGTCATCATAACATCACATCATCGTCATAGTAACATCATATCATCGTCATCGTAACATCTCACGAGCGTTATCGTAATATCACCTCATCCTCATAGTAACATCACATCATCGTCATCGTAAACAGTTTCCTCACCACCGAAACACAGTTTCCTCACCACCGGAACATAGTTTTATCACCACCGGAACATAGCTTTATCACCACCGGAACATAATTTCATCAGCACCGGAACACAGTTTCCTCACCACCATATATACCATCGGAACATAGTATTTTACCACCGGAACATAGCATCCTCATCACCGGAACATAGTTTCCTCAGCAACGGAACACAGTTTCCTCACCACCGGAACATAGTTGTATCACCACCGGAACATAGTTTCCTCACCACCTGAACATAGTTTTATCACCACCGGAACATAGTTTCCTCAGCACCGGAACACAGTTTCCTCAGCCCCGGAACTTAGTTTCCTCAGCATCGGAATACAGTTTCCTCACCACCGGAACATAGTTTTATCACCACCGGAACACAGTTTCCTTAGCACTGGAACATAGTTTTATCACCACCGGAACATAGCATCCTCAGCACTGGAACATAGTTTCCTCACCACCATATATACCATCGGATCATAGTATTTTACCATGGCCATCGGAACATAGTTTCCTCAGCACTGGAACATAGTTTTATCACCACTGGAACATAGTTTTATCACTACTGGAACATAGTTTCCTCACCACCGGAACATATTTTCCTCACCACCGGAACATAGTTTCCTCAGCACCGGAACACAGTTTCCTCACCACCATATATACCATCGGATCATAGTAAATTACCATGGCCATCGGAACATAGTTTCCTCAGCACTGGAAAATAGTTTTATCCCCACCGGAACATAGTTTCCTCAGCACTGGAACATAGTTTCCTCACCACCATGTATACCATCGGATCATAGTATTTTACCATCGGAACATAGTTTTATCACCACTGGAACATAGTTTTATCACCACCGGAACATAGCTTTATCACCACCGGAACACAGTTTTATCACCATCGGAACACAGTTTCCTCACCACTGGAACATAGTTTTATCACCACCGGAAC